GACTCTGTGGCCAGTGCAGTACAATGTAGGCTAAAATCAGAGTGCAATGAGACAATATCAACATGCATCCATGCATCCCTTTGCCAATCCACTGCTGGATATATATTTTTTATTTACCAAACGTTCCTTTCTTTGTGTGCATGTATGTTGAACTTCTTTCGCACCGTACGTAGCCAACTGTGATAATCGTAGGTGCGGGGGAAGGACAACAAACTAACACGCAAAAAGCAATTCGAAAGAAATGGAGTTTCAATCTCGATCATTTAAAAGCGCATCGCTCCCAGTAGCTTCCTAATATCGGACGGGAGAGCGTTCCAGACGGCCGCAGAAGCGCACCTGAAAGCGCCACGCGATGGGGGTGACCGCCGTCTTTGTTGGGATGGACAGCAGCCAAAAGCCGCCGCTGCTGCTGCGAGGATGACCACCGAGGTCCACGTGATGGTTCACGCTCCTTGACGAGGGCAGCAGCAGCAGCTGGGAATTCGCGGTTCGTTTGTGGCAAGCGCTTTGTGTGTGATGAGCGCGCCTTTAAATGAGTGCGACCTTTGAACGTCACAGCGTCGTTATCCACGCACCCACCTGCCACCATCCCATCCTCTCCGTCCCTCCGCACACCTACGATTAGTACGGATAGGCTCCGTAGGGTGCGAAAGAAGTTCAACATTTAAACACACACGCGCACACATCTTTCGGAAAATGTAAAGTGCGTTGTTCAGGAAAAATGCAAGCGATCGTAAAGAGAAGACGAGCTTAAGAGGGAATGGTGTGGCTTTACGACGACAACACAAGAGATTGTTGCCGGGGAGATGTGGCCACTACTTGAGCACATTAGCACGAGGCAGAGGAGGAAAGTGGAAAGAAATTACGAAACGTGGAGTGGACGCCTACGGGCTATCTGCCCGTGGATCGTGATGATGATGCCGCATGCCGCTTTTCTTAACGACCCTAAAACATCTGGTCCAACCCATGTGAGACTAGGCTCTAAGGAAAGCTGTCTCGGGTGTGGACCAATCAACTTCAAGGACAGTGCATACAGAGTTATGTTTTTTGTTTGCGTTATGGCTGCAGATATTGTGGTCTATCCAAACATGACTCCTTGTAAAAAAGGTGTCAGTTTTGTTGCCAGATAGAAGGGTAAAAAGACAATTATCAAACCCCCCCCCCCCCACCGCAAAACGAAATCCGACGGAGCGTGCGTCGTTCACGGCTTTCCCTTCTCCACCACCTCCTCCTCCTCGTCCACCCGCTTCGTCTCGACCCCGTGTGGCGGCGGTTGGCAGCGGCATCGAGCGCAGACCCCGAGGCCCCCGCTGTGTGCGGGGCCACCCTGCTGGAGGTGGAGGGAGAACTCTCCTCCCCGGGCCACCCGGGACCCTACCCGGACCGCGCCGCCTGCCGCTGGAACCTGCCCGCGAGACCCCGCGACCGCACCGCGTTCCGTCTCGTCCACCTCGACATCGAGTACGAGGCGGTGTGCGCCTTCGATCGGCTCACCGTCTCGTTCGGCGAGAGGGGGGCCGCCGGCGGCGGAGGAGGGGGGCCGGCCCCCCACAGAATCTACTGCGGCTCCAACATCAGCCTCCACGTGCAGCCCTTCGTGGGCACGGGAGCCGCCACGGTGCTGTTCCACAGCGACGACTCGGTGACCCGCACCGGGTTCCGGCTTCACTACGAAGGTGGCGCGTGCCTCCCCCCCTACCTGCCCGTACTTCTCCACCCCGCCAACCCCCCCCCCCCCCACCACTGCGCACGTGTGTCTATGTGTGTCTATGTGTGTCTGTGTGTGTCTGTGTGTGTGTCTGTATGTGTCTATGTGTGCCTATGTCTATGTGTGTCTGTGTCAGTTTGTATGTGTCTATGTGTGTCTATGTCTGTGTGTGTCTGTGTGTGTGTGTATGTCTGTGTGTGTCTGTGTGTGTCTATGTGTGTGTGTATCTGTGTGTGTCTGTGTGTCTATGTGTGTCTGTGTGTCTGTGTGCCTGTGTGTGTTTGTCTATGTCTGTGTTTGTCTGTGTGAGTGTGTCTATGTGTGTCTATGTGTGTCTGTGTGTGTCTGTGTGAGTCTGTGTGCGTCTGTGTGTGTAGCGGTCAGCACTGAGCTGCGCTACAAACCTGGCCACCCGAGTTCAATTCCCCCACCGCGGCCAATACCGGTGACGATTATCCGAACCGGTCCTGGGCCTCCCCTAGGTCGACTCAGCCTCAAACGAGTACCTGGTGCGGTGTGTAAACATCGACACTGGGGAGACAAAGGCGGCCGGGCGTGGTGCTGGCCACCCACCCCCTTGTGTGCCGTGCCGGCCTTCATAGGTGCTCGCAGAAAGCACTTGCCCCTACAGTGTGCTCACAGCCTACAAGGGGGACCTTTGTCTTTTGTCTGCGTGGTGATTCGCGCACTGCATGCCAGGTCATTCCATCGCTCCATCTCCACGGGGACGCGAAACCTTCCAGGGCGCGTTTGCTCCGCCTTTGACTGCCACTCCATTGTTACTCTCGGCCCAGCGACCCTCGTCCCTTCTAACGACGTCTCCTGTCCAAGTTCACGTACTTGTCTCCAAGTTCAAGTTCATTTATTAGGTATAGCCCTGTGAGAAATTCGGCTCTTGAATCGGGTGCAACCGCAACAAACAAAAACATGAACTAAGTGCAAACAGAAAATCCAAGAAAAGACAGCAAAATATTGCAGAAAAAAACACCGTGTAGGCATTTGGCCGTCCATAAATGACGTCACGCGATTTTGGACGATGTTTGACCCCACCCCACCTCGTCACACGGCGTCACAAAAAGTCAGACCCCCCCCCCCCCTCAAATATGACGTCACAAAGCTCTGCCCCCCCCCCCAAAATAATGCTTCAAATCGCTTGAAACTATTGTCATTGTAGTGCGTATTTAATGCGCCGCTGCACTCTGATGTTGTAGGAGAAACATTTATTAAAAGTCTATTTAATTAAGTAGAACGTGTTGTCTATATTTGCGCATTTTGATGTGACGTCACATTTCTCACCCCCCCCCCCCTCCTCGTCACACATCGTCACAAATGTCTGACCCCCCCCCCCGAGGTACGTGACGTCATTTATGGACGGCCCCTAACCATGTATGTACGTACGTACGTTGAACTTCTTTCACACCGTATGTAGCCGATCGTGCCAATCGGAGGTGCGGGCGGGGCGGGGGGGGCACAACAAGTGGGAGATGGAGCGTTGACTCTTCAAAGGCGTGGGGGGTTTTCACCGAGTGCTCCAATTTCCTATAAAGGTGTAGAAAATAAAAACCCTCCACCCCCACTCATCAATCAAGGACTTGGACATTCGTCGTTTAGCGCCGGCTCCTCACCACCCTCCTCTGCTTGCCCCCCCCCCTTCTCTCTCGTCTCTGAATCCTCGCGATCCCCTCGAGCAGTTCCCTCTGCCCCCCTCCTGCCCATCTCCCTCCCTCCGAACGGCGAGCGAGCGTACGAAGTGAACGAACGAAGCGAACGAAATATGCCGCGCGCGCCGCGTTGCGTTGCGCGTCGGGAATCATTCGCAATTGTCGCCGCTCTGGTCGACGCGTCCGTGATCATCGGTCGCGATGTTGTTGACCGTGTCGGCAAAATCGCCCGATGACCCCGGCTGATGAGATTGCCGGCGAAAAGTCGCGGTGCTCAGATGGCAAGCGTTGCGGGTTTACTCTCCAGCACACCGACGGGCTGAAGCAGTCGACTAATCGGCGCGTCGTTCACGTGACAAATCCACTTTACTTGATTTGAAGCTTTCGTGACTGCGGGAATCCGTAACGGAGGTAGAAATAAAATAAAACAAATTACGACGTCATTGGAACCTCATTTGCCAGCAAAAAATATGATAATTGTTTTTTTACCCGTCTATCTGGCAACAAAGCTGACACCTTTTTTTTTACAAGGAGTCATGTTTGCATAGACCACAATACCTCCAGTCATAATGCAAAAAAAAAATAACTCTGATAATGTGCACTGTCCTTGAAGTTGATTGGTCCACACCCGAGACAGCTTTCCTTAGAGCCTAGTCTCACATGGGTTGGACCAGATGATGCCAAAAGGCGCACAACTCAAAGACAATGCACCATCAGAGTATGAGAGCTCGGGGTAAGCATTTACACCATTGGAACCTCCTTTTCCAGTAAAAAATATGATAATTGTTTTTTTACCCTTCTATCTGGCAACAAAACTGACACCTTTTTTGCAGTCATAATTCATTATGACTGCAGGTATTGTGGTCTATGCAAACATGACTCCTTGTAAAAAAAATGTGTCAGTTTTGTTGCCAGATAGAAGGGTAAAAAAACAATTATCAAATCGCGACGTTTCGATCGCAATACAAGTGGTCGGCATCAGGCGAAGGGGGTCGCGGGTTTCGTTGCGCCGTTGCCTGATAAAGGTCGCTTGTGTTGCGATCGAAACGTCGTGATTTATTTTATTTTATTTCCAACTACGTGACTTTACGAATCCCTTACTGACTGCGTCGGGTGGTGGAGGGTTACGACGCATTTATACTTACGCAATCACACCCCAAAAACACATTCCTGCGGAGGGAGCTGGTAGGAACGTTGGGTTGCTCGGTCAATGGCCAGGGTCAACGGCGGCGTGGTGCATTCCGCAAATATGCCCGACTGTGAGGGCGGGCACAAGCCGGCGTGAGTGGGTTAAACGTTGAGTTTTATAAAGGCACCACGGGGTGACCAGTCCCTCCTCACCCAGCCCCAACCCTCCCACCCCCCACCCAGCCCCACCCTCCCCACCCAGCCCCTCCCCACCCTCCCCACCCAGCCCCTCTCCACCCTCCCCTTTCCACCCAGCACCACCCCTCCCATTTCTGGATTCAAGACGGACGGACGGACACAATAATCCCCTGTGGGCTGGTGTAACCAGGAGGTTCCTACCAGTAAAAACTTTGTTATGAATAATATTTGGTCGCGAAAGTGTACTACGTGTTAAACTAACATCGTCGTCGTTATTGTCGTTGTTGTTATTGTTGTTATTGTTGTTGTTATTGTTGTTGTGATCATGACAACGACGTCGCAGTGCTGCAGGAGGACCCGCCGTGCGCATCGCAGCCGTGCGGCAACGGGGCGAGCTGCACGAACCGACTGCTCGGCGGCTTCGCGTGCGTCTGCGCCCACGGCTTCCTGGGGGCCACGTGCGAGCAAGGTGAGAGATGTTAACTACCTCGCCTGGTGGACAGAAGGTCGTTTGTTCGATCCCGACCCTGATGATGACTGCTGTATATTTGGAGTTTGTGTGTGTCTCTCTCTCTCTCATCATCATCATCACGGTGGCTAGGAGATGCTAACTACCTCGCCTGGTGTACGGAGGTCGTGGGTTCGATCCCGACCCTGATGATGACTGCTGTATATTTGGAGTTTGTGTGTGTGTCTCTCTCTCTCATCATCATCATCACGGTGGCTAGGAGATGCTAACTACCTCGCCTGGTGTACGGAGGTCGTGGGTTCGATCCCGACCCTGATGATGACTAGCTGTATATTTGGAGTTTGTGTGTGTGTCTCTCTCTCTCTCATCATCATCACGGTGGCTAGGAGATGTTAACTACCTCGCCTGGTGTACATGAGGTCGTGGGTTCGATCCCGACCCTGATGATGACTGCTGTGTATTTGGAGTTTGCGTGTCGCTCTCTCTCATCATCATCATGGTGGCGAGTCGTTAACTACCTCGCCTGGTGTGCAGGAGGTCGTGGGTTCGATCCCGACCCTGATGATGACTGCTGTGTATTTGAAGTTTGCGTGTCTCTCTCTCTCTCTCATCATCACGTTGGCTAGGAGCTAGTGGGTCAGTGGGCCTTACCCTGGTAAAATAAAACAAGACGAAAGTTTTAGTTTAGCTTTCGTTCAGTCTCTCTCTCCCTCCCCCTCTCTCTGTGTGTCTGTGTCTGTCCTCAGAAGTGAACGAGTGCGTGTCCAGCCCGTGCCACGGGAGTGGCGAGTGCGTGGACCTGCCCGGGAGATTCGCGTGCGTGTGTCGCCAAGGGCGCAGCGGGCAACGCTGCGAATTCGGTGAACATTATACTCCTCGGCCCTCTCGCACCACGACCCACGATACTTCTTGCTAGCGACCCGTGAACTCACGGTTGCCGTTGATATGGCGATTTTAATACACACAATGGACAGATAGGACAAGATAAAAGGGCTCGCATAATGCGCATGCATCATGTGCGTTGACTCATTAACCCCCCCCCTTACTTTGCGCAAGAGCTCAGAAGCGTGGTCACCACATCCACGCCTCTATGTAAGGAACAAAACAGGTGGACTTCTCCACAAATCTGGCTGTCGCCTGATGAAGCTGGTTGTAATTACTGGCGAAACGTCGTACTCGGATTGTAAATGTTGTGGCTTGGCTCTCCAACACGCAACCGGTGTGCTGTACCAGTTTACTACACTGCTATACACTACACTATACACTACACACTAGTGCTGTACTAGTATACTACACTATACACTACACTATACACTAGTGCTGTACTAGTGACGAATTGGCACGTTCTGTTTACGTGACAACCCTTACTGGCTGGCTGTGTCGGGTGGTGGCGGGTTTTAACGACACGATTTAACCCAAAAAAAAACCTCTATTATCACGCGAGCTGGATGATTGGTGATCGATGCCTGGTCTCAGTGGCAATAGAGGTTGACAGTCTTTTGAATGTCCAGGTGCAGTCCTATCATCAATGTCGCCAACAACAACAACAATCGCCGTTCGCCACAAAGTGGCGGCGATGTCACCACGGCGCTTGTGTGCCAGGCTAGGTGCACTTTGAGGCTACGTGAAGTATCTAAGGCTCGTTGGCAAGTGGTGACGGGACAGACCCAGCAGGTGCCACGGGTCGACTGACTGAGATGACTGCCAGATGCACCACATGTGCCTCTACTATGCCGATAGTTAAATAAAACAAAGATCCCCCGTATAGCCTTAACGGACTGTTGGGGCAAGTGCTGTTAGCGAGTAGCACCTATGAAGGCAGGAACGGCACACGAGGGGGTGGGTGACCAACACCACGCCCGACCGCCTTTGTCTAATTCATGGCGATATTTACTACACACGATCCAGGCATCCAATTGAGACTGACTCGACCAAGGGTAGACCCAGGACCGATTCAGATAATCGTCTTGAAATGTTAAGGGGGTTTGCGCTTCACATTATGATTTTATTACACTGCAGCGTTTGAATACGTTTTTTTATATTTGCTGGTTTATTCCAGGATGTTTCTGTTGCGCGTCGTCGCTTTAAAATGTTCCGTGTTCATATTTTGTTTGTTGCGGTTGCACCCGACTCAAGAGCCGCACGGCTCACAGGGCTACACCTAATAAATGAAACTTGAAAGCTTAAAACAAATACTCACCGTGTGCCCTGCCCCCCTCCCTCCCTCCCTCTCACCCTCCCGCAAGGCACGGGTCCCAGGGATGACGACGAGTGGGGTCTGTGTCAGCCAAACCCGTGCCACCACGGAGGCACGTGCCAGTCCAGCAGGCGACAATTTCACTGCTTGTGCCCGCGAAACTACACGGGCAGCCTCTGTCAGCACGTGATAGGCAAGTGCTAGTCCACTCACCCCCCCCCAGCAAGCATTTAGTGCAGCGGTTCTGTTCTGTCTCACAGCAGGAGTTTTGCCGCACGGCAGATGGGGGGGGGGGGGGGGGGGGGGGGGTATGTACACAGGAAGTTCCTGTTTTTGATGCTAATTTTGGTCACGTGACCAGGAAGTTACGATTTTAGATTTCCACTGAACCACGCGGGCGGCGGCCATTACACAGATAAGTCAAGATGGCGGCACCCATCGCGTCTCAGTGAAGCCAGACGCAGTTGTCCATCGTGGGACTTTGAGAAGCATTGTCTTTTTACTATCTCGACTAGCGGTGCAACACAGCGCACAGCGAGGCCAAGATAGGTTCTCAATTTAAAAAAATATATATATACTAGCTGTACTACCCGGCTTCGCCCGGGACTTGTATCCACCACGGCCGGCCGCCTTTGTCTCCCCAGTGGCGATGTTAATACGCCACACCAGTTACTCGTTTTGCGGCTGAGTCCCTCCCTCACCACTCTCCCTCCCTCATCACTGTCCCTCCCTCACCACTCTCCCTCCCTCACCACTCTCCCTCCCTCACCACTCTCCCTCCCTCACCACTCACGCACGGCCGCCTTTGTCTCCCCAGTGGCGATGTTAATACGCCACACCAGTTACTCGTTTGAGGCTGAGTCGACCTAGGGGAGGTTCAAATAATCGTCACCGGTGGTGGCCATGAGCGGGAATGGAACTCGGTTCGCCGGGTTTGTAGCGCAGCGTAGCGTTAACCACTACACCCACCGCTCCTCACACACCACACACGTACAGACACACACACAGACACACACACAGACACACAAACAGACACACGCAGACACACAGACAGACACACACACACAGACACACAGACAGCACGCTAACCACTACGCTACCGCTCCCCACACACCACACACACACAGACACACACACAGACACACACACACAGACACACACACACAGACACACACACACAGACACAGACAGCACGCTAAGCACTACACTACCGTTCCCCCTACACAACACACGCGCGCGCGTCCATAGGTACACATACACGCGCTTGCTGCAGACACACACGACTGTCAGGGTGCGTACGGCAGTAAACGACTGAAAAAAGAAAGCGGCAATGCTGCGCGAGGAACGCCTTAGACCTGCAACACATTTGTGTAATGCGAGCGTAAACACACAAACACATACACACACATACACACACATACATACACACACATACACACAAACACATACACACACATACACACACATACATACACACAGACATACACATACACACAAACACACACATACATACACACAAAAACATAGACAATACACACACACATACATGCAGACACACAGACAGACACATAACACACATACATACACACACATACATACACATAAACACATCCACAGACGTACATACACACATACATACAGACACGCAGACATACACATAAACACATACAAAAAAACCCACATACATACACACACACATACACACAAACACATACACACACATACATACACACATGCATACAGACACACAGACATACACAAACATATACACACATACACATGACCTGGCTTCGCCCGGGACTTGGATCCACCACGCCCGGCCGCCTTTGTCTCCCCAGTGCCGATGTTAATACGCCACACCAGTTACTCGTTTGAGGCTGAGTCGACCTAGGGGAGGTTCAAATAATCGTCACCGGTGGTGGCCGTGAGCGGGAATCGAACTCGGTTCGCCGGGTTGGTAGCGCAGCGTAGCGTTAAGCACTACACCCACCGCTCCTCACACACCACACACGCACAGACACACACACAGACACACACACAGACACACGCAGACACACACAGACAGACACAGACAGACACACACACACACAGACACACAGACAGCACGCTAAGCACTACACTACCGCTCCCCACACACCACACACAAACACACACACAGACACACACACACAGACACAGACAGCACGCTAAGCACTACACTACCGTTCCCCCTACACATACACGCGCTTGCTGCAGACACACACGACTTTCAGGGTGCGCACGGCAGTAAACGACTGAAATAATAAAGCGGCAATGCTGCGCGAGGAACGCCTTAGACCTGCAAGACATTTGTGTAATGCGAGCGTAAACACACAAACACATACAAACACATACACACACATACATACACACACATACACACAAACACATACACACACGTACATACACACATACATACAGACACACAGACATAGACATAAACACATAAAAAAAACCCACATACATACACACACAGACATACACACAAACACATACACACACATACATACACACATACATACACAGAGACAAACACATACACACAAACACACACATACATACACACAAACACATACACAATACACACACATACATGCAGACACACAGACACACACATAACACACATACGTACACACGCATACATACACAGAAACACATACACACACATACATACACACACACATACATGCACACAAACACATGCACACACGTACATACACACATACATACAGACATGCAGACATACACATAAAGACATACAAAAAAACCGACATACATACACACACACATACACACAAACACATACACACACATACATACACACATACATAGAGACACACAGACATACACATAAACACATACACACATACACATGACCCGGCTTCGCCCGGGACTTGGATCCACGATGGCCGGCCGCCTTTGTCTCCCCAGTGACGATGTTCACACACGACAGCAGTTACGCGTTTGAGGCTGAGTCGACCTAGGGGAGGCCCAGGTCCGTTTCAAATAATCGTCAGCGGTGGTGGGCGTGAGTTGGAATGGAACTGGGGTCGCTCAACCAGCTTAATGACTATTTGTACAAAGAACATATAAAGAATCGATTATAATAACCAGGCTACAGTCCACATTATAGACTGGCAGTACACGCACTCAGCTTCATAAGCAGGCTAGAGTGTACATGATAGAGTGGCAGTATGCTCACCGAGTTTAATAAGCAGGCTACAGTCTACATGATAGACTGGCAGTACGCTGACCCAGCTTAATGACTATTTGTACAGTGAACATTTAAGTAATCGATTGTTGGCGCGTTGGGTTTAAAAGTAATATAAATTGCACACATTGTGGTGGGGGTGGAGTGAATAGTAGGAAAAACTTTGATGAATTTACCTCAGAGTGGCGTGGTGGGTGTTGAGGCCTAGTAGCATGCAGAGCCTGCGGCCTCGCCAAAATTGTCCAGCCGGCAAAGGCAGGGTACGGGTGGCGTGCCTCCCCCCCCCCCCCCTCAGCGCTCCAACAATACTGTGTAATGGCTATTATTTAATTATTTACGGAGCATATGAAAGTGGCGAAGGCGTGGCTAGCCGTTGGCAGGGGCAACTGCCGTCCAATGAATCTGCAGCCCTTGGCGAAGGCGTCGCTAGCCGTTGCCAGGTCCAATGAAAGCGGCGAAGGCGTCGCTAGCCGTTGCCAGGGGCAACCGCCGTCCAATGAAAGTGCGTATGGTCCGAAATCCACACACACACAGACAGACATGCACGATTTTATATATATAGATGGCAGCCACCCCCATCCTCCCACTACACACCCTCCAATTAAGACCACTGGTCCCAGCACCGTCGTACTCGAATTATAAATGTTTTGGGTTTACTCTCCAACACACAACCGGTGTTGCGTTACTAGTAACGAATTGGCATGTTCTGTTAACGTGACAAACCTTAATTCGTTTGGCTGTGTCGGGTGGTGGCGGGTTTAACGACGCATTTATATTTACGCGATCTAACCTAAACAATAAAAAAAACACTTATGAATAATATTGATCGTGAAAGCCTACGCGTTGAACTAATCCCTCCCCCGCCACCGACATCCACAACAAACGTAACAAACGTTATTAATGAGGCCACATTACCGATATATCAAATGTCCACCATCGTCAATGTCAAGTAAATGCAATTATTGCATGTTGATGTACGCGTGCAGATCTCGTATTCGTCGCTCAGAATCGCGACTTTTTCAATATTGAGCTTTTTTATTTTTCAAACCCATTTCGAAAACAAATGTCTCTTCTTGTTACTTCAGTTGCCCCCCCCTCCCCGCCGTCACAGAGTAACAACATCTCCTACTTCTTAGCGACACACCAGGGGCGGATGGGGAGGGGGGTGGAGGTGTTAAGGCTACATGCTGTTCCCCACGACTCTCCTCCTTCATACCCGATGCTCATTATTATCGACCTGTCGACGCCAGACTCCGCGGGGCTGGCCGCGCTGCTGGCGAGCCTCGCGTTCGCCTTCTGCCTCTCGGCGGCCGCGGTGACCCTCTGTCAGCTGAAGCTGCAGCGGGCGCAAGGCCCAGTGGAACAGCCGCGGACCGGCGAGCCGGCACCGCTCGAGGGCAGGTATGGACGGGGCGAGCCCTCTCGCGATGGAACTGCGATTCAACTGAGACCGTGATTTTTTATTTTACCAGGTAATGCCACACTGAGCTGTGTAGTAGCACTTTTTTTTGGTCAGAAACCACCTCGACATAAATGATAGCTCAACGTGGAAATGTATTGACATTGGGCAAATCTCCGATCGCAGGGCAACTTTATACTGAAATTTCATGAATATCGAGACATCTTTTGAAGAATTATCAAGGCCCCCCCTCCTCCACCACCTCCACTCACTCCAGACAGCCGGACAGGGCGAATGCATAATACATTTTTTAAAACTTATTTAGAAAGAGTTCACGTAAAAACAACAACAACAGCATCGCCTACTGCCAGCTGCATTGATGCAGTGAGGCTCCTGTGAATACGACAGCGTGTCTCACGTGGCTCGTGCTACTTACTTGGCTGTGTTCTCGTGTCTATTAGCACGGTTCGCTACGTGCGGTGCGAAAGAAGTTCAGCATACTACATTGTCTGCTCGATGCTCGTGGGGGG